CTTTCCCAAAGACACTATGAAGAGTATGGAAAAAGACAAGCCATAGAGCTCAAGGGACTATGCTCAAATCATATATCTGATAAAATACTGTGTCCAGTATACATGAAGAACTTCAGCAAAACAATGACAAATACCGCAATAAGTGTGAAATAGATCTTGACAGACGTAATCAAGTCAAGATGAGGCCATCAGAGTGGGTCCTAATCCAATAGGGATTGTGCCCTTAAAAGGGGAGGATCATTTCATGTGAAGACAAAGACACAGGGATCATGCCATATGATGACAGACGCAGAGATCGGAGTGATGCAATGCCAAGCCAAGGAGTGCCAAGGGTTGAGGGCCCCACCAGAGACCAGAAGATGGCAAGAAAGGACCCTACCCAGAGTCTCAGAGAGAGCATTACCCTGCTGACACACTGGCACCTAACCTGCAAGACTATAATAAATTTAAGCCACCAAGTTCAGTGGTTTGCCCCACATTCTGGAAATATATGCCATCTTTTCCAAGTAACTCTTCACAAGAGTTATAATTGATCACACAAGTTATGGTCATCAAGGCCGGCTAATACCACAAAAGGATACAACACCTTCTTGAGGAGGAAAAAAAAAATGTCATAGATTTTTGCAGGCAGGTAATCGGTATATGAGATTTTCTTAAACCACGCTCTATTTATACAAAGTTTGAATTTCCCCAAAATAAAATACCAAATAAACAATGGAGAACTACTTATGAAAGAATTTTTAAGTACTTTATAATTATGCTGTGTTGCAATCCCTTTCCAAAAAGGGTATTTAGATGGTGTGCTAGATTGCATTACTGATTCAAAATTTTCAATCCCCTGTGAAACAATCTAGTAATATCTCATGGCAGCAAGATTGTAATTCTCTCCCTTCGTTTTGAGCCATGTGACTTGCTTAAATCAATGCTATGTGAGCAAATATGCAAAAAACCCTGAAACATGTCTGTGAGTTTGGCTTTCCTCTATACCTCAGGTGATCCCTCATGAGGAATCTTCCCCAAGGTGCTGCTTGTTCAGAATCACCCCCAGAATGGACAGACTTGGATCAGAGCCAGGTTAGCTTCCAGAATGGACCTGAAGACACACCACATGTAACAATCTACCCAAGCCAACCGCCAGACTTGTGAGCATGAAAATAAATGCTTATTGCAGCATGTAGTAAGCAAAATCTGACTAATAGTTATTTACACCATTACAGTAAATTTTAAAGTTCCACTATTGACAAGTTCATGTCAGACAAAACATACCATTTATTAAGTAGAAATGATCGCTGTTCTTCCTTTCCTGCCCTACTAGTGCTCTGGCAGGTCGGAGAAGGAAGAGAATTTATAGGACTGAAAAGGATCAAGAAAGTCTTCACACTGGAATGGTTGGTGGGTGCTTGCATTTCTTTATGCAAAGAAGATTATGTAAATTTAAATATTTGGAAACAAAATGTTACTGAAATAATTATAAAAAAATTAAACTTTTTTCAAAGATCGAATAAATTCAAACTAAAATGTAAGTTGTGTTCCTACTCTTGCCAAGTAGCAGTTTCTCTTTGACGTTCTACAGGAAACCCAGCTAACAGGATGGCATCGTGTTAACCATAGTACAACATATACATTTTAGAGACCCATTTTGGTGTCACCCAATCTTTTACTTTAACGACAATTATCGCAATCTAAAATACTAAATCATATGGTAGTTATCACTCAAGAGTATACCTGGTGGAACCAGTGTTGGTGTTAGAAACTGGAGTAAAAAAAATAAATAAATATATTTGGAAAGACATTCAGACGTGAGAAATTCTAGAGAGGCCCAAATTACTGCCACTATGTGCCATGCTGTTACTGCAGGAAAAAGCACTCTGCGATATGTAACCTACTGAAAGTAATTGTGAAGCTTTCTCCTTTTTATTTTGTTAGAATTTAATAGTACAATAAGTATTTTCCTCTTAAAAGTTCAATGCAAGTCACTTGTAAATCTGCCTGGGATTACTGTGTATTGGGGTTTCAGCGACACTGGGGAAACAGTACAGCGGTGCAGCGAGACCGTCACAGACGCTCCTGCCAGGATGAGGCAACCACCACTCAGACTCCTGAACTCTCCCAGACATGCACAGGGGGTGGCGTGACACAAACTCTGTCATTGGGACATACATGTGGACGCACCCAGACACAGACTCACAAACTCAGACACTGGCCAAGATGAGGTCTGTAGAGACACAATGACAGGCCCCCTGCAACACCCCACCCATTCCCCACACCAGCTCTATTTACTTAGGACTAACGAACATCACACGCATTGTATATTTTACTTCTATCTCCATTCCCGGAATGGGGACGTCACGCTTCCTGAACCTGCACAGTACGAGAAGCCTCTCTCCATAAGAGGCAAACCTGAGCAAGAAGTGTCAGGGGCCCAACATGCTGGGGTAATGATGTTCCGGCCACCCACGCGACTTCAGGACTCTCCCAGAAACACGCTCATCACCGCTTCCCCCCTTTGTCAGAGAGGGCAGCGATGGTGCCATCTCTTGACTGGCCGTGCCCTCACAGCCCTCTCCTCGTCAGTCTCGTGTGCCCACAGGCCCTGCTCCATCCTCCCTGAGTGGCCCCAAAGTCCTCACGAAGGCCGGAGGCGGGTCGCCTTGGGAGATTGGGCCACAGAGAGCTCTTGTGGGAGCCATGGGAGGACAGGCAGCTGTCACGACAGTGGTGGGGGCTGAGCTCCCAAAGTCTCTGGTGCAGCCTCTTCTCTGAGTCCCAGGCCACCCACCTGCACCTTCGCCATCCTGCGGAGGCTGAGCTCCCAAGTGTCTCCTGGGCATTTCTTTCTTTTATTATTATTATTATTATTACTATTATTATTACTATTATTATTATTATTATTTATGCCTACAGCACCTCGTTGTCCTAGGTGGTCTAACCAGCCTCGACCCTGCCTAGCTTCCGAGATCAGACATCGGGCTTGTTCAGGGTGGCATGGCTGTAGGCCATGGACCGTGGCTCCACTGGGGTACGAACCCAGGACCTTCTGCATGTAAAGCAGATGTGCTAAACGCTACACTATGGAACCATGTCCTCCCAGGCATTTAAGAGGCAGCTGGCCCTCTGTGGAGGCCGAGATCTCTGTTTCTCCCAGGCCAATGAGCTTGAGACTAGGCAAAGAGCACAGGCTAGCAGTGCACATGCACAGCAGGTAGGTGCCTCTGGAGATGTGGTGGGCCACATGGTACAAATAGGGTTGTTGCACATATAGTTAAGATGAGGTCATACTGCAGTAGAGAGGACCCTGATCTTATAGGAGGATGTCCTTATAGAAACAACGCCATATGAAAAGACAGGCATGCACACAGAACACCATGTGAAGATCAAAGGTGTGCTACCACAAGTGAATGACCTAGCAGGGCCAGGACAGAGCTGGAACAGACACTTCCCTGGCACTTTCACAGGAAGCTGGTCTTGCCACACAAGACTTCTGGACTTCTGCCTCCAGAACTATGAGACAAAATTTCCTGTTGTCCTAAGCCACCCAGCTGTGGTACTTTGTTACAGCAGCCCCAGGAAACAAATAGGATACAAGTGATTTGAAAACACAGTAAACAGGATATTTCTAAGAAATATCTACAAAAGATTTTCCTTGAAAATAAAATAGTTTTTCATGACACATAGTATAATTAAACGCATGTCAAGGAACTGCATTCAGCACCAAGTAACAGAAATCTCCCCAAATCTAACGTGGAAGGAAAGTGTTCAACCTCATGCAGGACTGGGTCAGCACACTTAAAAACACAATTGATTAACAAAGGTCCATGTGTTGTTTTATTTTGCTAAAACATTGCAGTTTCTGTGGTGGTGGAGTTAGGTACAAAAAGTCACTAAAAGAATTAAGAAATGTAAATTAGACCTTATAAAATGTGTTAACATCTAGAGAGGTTGAATCATAGCATCAGAGAACATGAGTCTGAATTAGTGGTCTGGGGCACACCTTAGGGTTTGTAGGAAAATCCAAATGGTGAGTGCCTGACCGCACAAGTGGATCCTTGATACTAAGCTACAGAGGTATCTGTGGAAGCCTATACCGCTCAGGAAAATGGAAATCAAGCACTCGGTGTTTCTTTTGATGATATCTTTGATTGGCAGGGCAAAAATTCAGGTAAATGGGCTGAAAGGTGATGTCCAGAAGTCCCTGTGCATCTATGAAACTTTAGAACAGCTCCAAAAACTTAGTAATGGCTTCTTCACTTCTGTCGTCCAAATTTCACGCCAAGTTACGCTACTGGTATGTGTGAACGTGGAATCATGAAGGGAAGGGATTATGGGAAATGTAGTTCCCCAATTTACCCATGTTAACATAACACGAATCCAGAAGGAAGATCTGAAACTCTGTATCTCAAGATCATGTAAGGGTCTCTTATGCGTAAAAGCCTATTGTCCAATTCCCAATTAGAAGCAAGGACAAACAGAAATAGACAAAAATTGAAAACAATCCACACGGACTACATACTTTGAAGAACTGCATAATTACAAATGTCTGCCAACTATAAGAAAAATTAACTAAGGCTCCTCTGGTTAAAAATAAAGACTCTTAATAAGAAAGGCTGAAAATATATGATGGGTGATATCTAATATCTGCCACACTAGGCCAATAAAAAAAAAAGTCTAACGAATACCAACAGGTCATTGTTCCAATAACCCCTCTTAAAGCAGCGTTCCCCAACGTTTTTGGCACATGGGACTGGTGTTCCTATGAGAATCTAATGCCTGATGATCCGAGGTGGAGCTGAGGCGGTGATGCTAGTGCCGGGGAGCAGCTGCAAATACAAATAAGCTTTGCTCACTCGCCCACCGCTCACTTCCTGCTGTGAGGCCCAGTTCCTAACAGGCAATGGACCGGTACTGGTCCACAGCCTGGGGGTTGGGGACTTCTGCCTAAAAGAACAACTTAAAGAAGAAATTTAAACTACTTACATATTTAAAATATGCTTTAAATCATCTGTGAGTCCAACAAACTAAAATAAAGGTTTTATTTACAAACACGTAAGAAAAAACACTCCATGCAAACTTTATGTACTAAGAGTCTTTGATGGTTATTTTTCGCCTACATGTTTATTTGCAAAAGGACTGGAAATATACTCCCTATGGGTCCACGTTAATGATGAGATACTCGTAAAGGCAATACCATATTTGCGACTTTTGTAAGATTCCTCTCCTGGTGTGAATTTTCTGAAGCATCACAGATTAACTCGTTTGCAAGAGAACTTCCCACATTACATATGTAGTGTTTTTCTGTAGTGTGTGTTCTCATGTGTCTTCTTAAGGATGAGGAACAACTGAAGGCCTTCCCACAGTGCTTACACTCATAAGGTTTCTCTCCAGTGTGCATCCTCATATGTATTGGTAAAGATGACGGCCATTTGAAGACTTTCCCGCATTCCTTACATTCATAGGGTTTCTCTGCGGTGTGTGTTCTCACATGCTGCTGCAAAAGTTCAGGCCAGCTAAAGGCTTTCCCACACTGCTTACATTCATAGAGTTTCTCAGCAGTGTGCCTTCTCATGTGCTTTTGTAAGGATTTGTGGCAATAGAAAGCTTTCCCGCACAGTTTGCATTCATATGCTTTGTCTCCAGGATGCATTCTCACGTGCTCTCGAAAGCAAGCAGACAAATTGAAAGCTTTCCCACATTGTTTACATTTATAGGGTTTCTCTTTAGTGTGTGTTCTCATGTGTTTTCGTAAGGATATAGGCCAGTTGAAAGTTTTCCCACATTGAGTGCATTCATAAGGTTTCTCTCCAGTGTGCACTCTCATATGTCCTCGAAAGGATGAGGGGTGGCTGAAGGCTTTCCCACACTGGTTACATTCATAGGGTTTCTCTCCACTGTGAGTCCTTTCATGTCTTCGGAAGGACTGGGGGTAAATAAACGTTTTCCCACACTGTTTGCACTCATAGGGTTTCTCTCCAGTGTGAATCCTTTCATGTCTTCGAAAAGACTGGAGATAGATGAAGGTTTTCCCACACTGTTTACAGTCATAGGGTTTCTCCCCAGTATGTGATATCATGTGTCTTCGAAAAGCTGAGAAGTAACTGAAGGCTTCTCCACATTCCTTACATTTATGTGGTGTCTCCCCAGTGTGTGATATCACATGTCTGCGAAAAGTTGAGGAATAGCTGAAGGCTTCCCCACAGTCCTTACACTTATAGGGCTTCTCTCCAGTGTGTGTTATCATGTGTCTTCGAAAAGTTGAGGAATAACTGAAGGCTTTCCCACATTCCTTACATTTATAGGGCTTCTCGCCAGTGTGCGTTCTCGCGTGACTAGTAAGACTTGAAAAATCGATGAAGGCTTTTCCACACTGCTGACACTCGTAGGTTTTCTCAGCAGTATGAATCCTTATATGCCGGTTGAGGGAAGAAGTACGAGGAAAGGTTTTTCCACATAATTTACATGCATAGGGCCTCTCTCCTTTGTGGGTTCTCACATGCATTCTTAGACGTGAACGACAACTATAAGCCTGCCCACATTCCCGACACTGATATGGTTTGTGTCCAGTGTGAACGGTGATGTGATTCTTGAGGGCTGCGTGGTGCACGAAGGCTTGTTCACAAGCCCTGCATTCATACTGTTTTACTCCACTAAGAGTTTTCTGATACAGATTAAGGTTTGGAATCTGGCCGAAGCCTTCCCCACATTGATCGTTACTTTCCCAGAGTCTCTCCATCACATGATTTCTGTTAAAAAAAGGGGAAACGTGTTATCAGTAGTTTGATTAATAATGATTTCTTAATATTTATTAAGTATTAGAATTACATTTTCACCAATTTCAGTGAATATGTAAGTTTTCTACCCTGATTTACTTTAAAACAGAAAGACCTGAATGGCTCGACCACGGCCATTATGAAAAAAGTTTTTCTAAAACATGGGCTTTCCTCCTAATTGTTTCAACTGTTTTAACACTCAGCATCTACGTCACATTTGAGGAAATGGTTTGGTGAAAATCTCTGTGAATAAACAAATTTGATCTAGGATTGTGTGGGCTTTTGGTCTGTTTGTTTGTTTGCTTTTTAAATTTCATGACATACTAGAAGTCCCTCCTGAAATACTACTACTACTTGTGGGTACAACTCACCTCTCATGTCTCCCCTGGTGTGTGTACTGATCTTCGATGCTAAGTTCTTCCCAAATTTTTCCTAAGACAGAGACCCAAGAATCATTTCTGGTGAACTTTGCTGTTTTATCTTCCTTGGATATTTTATTCCTATAAATATTCTGCTGAGGAACTGAACCATTGACCTTAAATTGAGTTTCATCATCTGAAAGCAGAAAAGGAACAAATCTTACAAGAAAGAAGGTAACCAGTAGCCAGCCGTAAAGGACACTGAAGAGGTCAGCGGTGTCAGGACATCATTAATGACAAGCACAAGGGATCAAAATGGAAAGCAATTTAAAAACACCAGTAACATTCTCTCGAAGTTAGAAAAACAAAGTTCACTGGGCCTCCTAATGACCCATGAAACTTGTATCCACTAATGCACTAAGAGAGCTTTCTTTACGAAAAGAAAAACAGTTGAATACACAGATCCTCGTTCTCCTGGTGAAACTATTAGATTCTAACTCTATGACAGTTGTGACCACGTCTATCTTATTAAGGTATTCCCTTTCCACACTCCAAATCTGAGAACAGGCTTGCTATGTAAGAAATGCATGCTCTCTAAGTGACCGGGTGAAGGAATGATGTCATTCTTACCCACAGAGGCCAGGTTCTGGCAGGTCTCCAGCATCACCTCTCGGTAGAGCTCCCTCTGAGCGGCGTCCAGCAAAGCCCACTCCTCTTGGGAGAAGTCCACGGCCACATCCTCAAACACCACCATGTCCTGAAACATCCCACATAGGTGCAGGAGGATGGGTGAGACTCACGGCACCAAGTAACGACTCAATTCACAGGAAGTTCAACATGATTCTGTGGTCACCTAACATCTCCTCCACGACTCGGTCATCGGAACCCCTTATTCCATGCCCACACTCATGTCCTCACAGATTTAGAGCAGTGAACTTACCGCCACATTTTTACTGTGACCACATCAAGCCTTACTACCCTTCTCTAACCAAAAGGTTTACATCACAAAAGAAATGAAAGAAACGCTATACGAATGAAACAGACATTTACGCTTTAAGACCCACCAATCCTGCGTGACACAAACTATGTTAACCCTTTCCCTGACGCGCACCACATCACTCAGTGCCATGCGGAGCCCAAGGTCAAACTCGGATGAGCTTGATCTTTATTAAATAATTTTTATTTTTCAATTACAGTTGGCATTCAACATTATCTTATACTAGTCTCAAGTGTACAGCATAGTGGTTAGACATTTATACAATTTACACAGTGATCTTCAGTGATTTTAGTACCCACCTGGCACCGTACGTGGTTATTACAATATTATTGATTATATTCCCTGTGCTGTACTTCACATGCCCATGACTATTTTGTAACTGCCTATTTGTACTTATTAATCCCTTCACCTTTATAACGCAGCCCCCAACACCCCTCCCGCCTGGCAACTATCGGTTTGTTCTATGTTTTGTCTGTTCGTTTGTTGTTTTAGATCCCACATATAAGTGAAATATAATATTTGTTTTTGCCTCTCTGACTTATTTCAGTTAGCGTAACACCCTCTGGGTCTACTCATGTTGTTGCGAGTGGCAAGATTTCATTCTTTTTTATGGCCAAGTAATATTCCATTGTATTTATGTGCCATCTCTTCTTTATCCAGTTGTCTATCCGTGGACATCCAGGATGCTTCCATATCTTGGCTATTACTAGCAATGAATGTGGGGGTGCGTGTGTCTTTTCGAATTAGTGTTTTGGATTTCTCATAAGAGTTTTCTTGCTGACCTTGAGGATAAGGTTATGAGTCCCTTTTTGCCGAGGAGTTAACTCAAGTCAAAATCATCCCGCCGTGAATCTGCCCGATTAAAAAAAAATAAAACACAAAGATTCGGCAGTGCCTCCTACACAGGAGACACTACCTCATCTCAAATTCCAGGAGAGATTCCCCACAAATCACCCTAAGGTTGCACTGTCACCATCCTTCATTTCCATGACCCTCCCCTGTGGGGCCCATGAGTATGTCGGGCCAACCCTCAGCATACGAACCACTGAGCTGCACGCTTCCCCGAAGCCCTGGATTTATTTATTTATTTATTTTTTTAAAGAATACCGGCCCACTGACATCCAGGAGCAGGGGCCAGAAAATACTGTCGACAGCTCTGCTGCCAGAACTTAGCTATTCCAGAAAGTAGCAGCCTACCAGGACTACCCTGTGGCTGGTACAGGAGACTGCCACCAGGACAGCTGCCTGTGCTGTCTCCTCTGATGACGCTTCCTCGCCCAAACACTACGGGCCTGACCTTTACCCTTAGAAATGACTGTGGCACATCTGGCCCTGGCTGGTGGCTGGGACCCTGGACTGGGGGAGGCTTCACAGCACCCAAACCGACGTTCCTCCTGGTGTCTAATCCTGCTGCCGACGACCGTGTTGATGCTGGGCACCTGCTTCCATCCGGAAGGCTGGCATTCAGGGACACGCGCGGCAGACGATGCTTCTCTATCAGCTGTCAGTGAAAGTCCCGGGCACTGGGTCTCTAACAAGGATCTCTGGGAGACAACATTTCACGTGATGTCACGACTCACTGCTGGGTGTACTCCATGTGAGGCCACTGCGAAAGGCTAACAGCTTGTCCCTGGTTGCCTGGGGATTTCTCCTCACGTGTCTTTTCCCTTTACTGCTCTGTCCGTGACCTTTGTTTTAACAATTCATGGTCATGAGTACAACCATATGCTGTCA